TCAAACATAAACCCGAAACTAAGCTCTAACCCAAAAAATCCTGAACACTCAACCCTAAACCCTAAGCCTAAACCGAAACTTTTCTAGGGACGGGACGACTTTGATAGCATGGACCTCCGGCACAAGCTGCGTCTGCCAAAGCGGCAGGCCTGTTACGATTTGAGGGGTGGGGGTTTGCTTTGTAAGCCTGGGGTTTGAGGGTTTAGGGTTCAGGTTTATTGGGTTTTCGTTTTCTATGTAATCTTCATTAAGTGATGATCGCCCCAACCCCAACAAGAGGTTTTGGGGGTGAGCGGTTTTGGAGCCGCTGCCCCGAAACCCAAACCCTCGTTTTGATTCTCTCAATCCTAACCTCTGAACCCCTAAACCCCTATAAATCCTACACCCGAAACCCGTAAGTCCGCAAGCCCTATACCCTATACTGATCCTCCAAGAGCAATTCCGCATCTCAAGATCAAAGTTTCGCCGGCATGCAAGTCAAGCGCAGGGATTCAGGTTTTGGGCCATATTACAGAGGCCTTAATGCAGTACAGTAGAAGCCGGAAAGTTGGAAACCCAATAACCTCAATCCTTAAGAGTAATGTATTAGGAATCCCAGCATTATTTGGCCTTAATCCGGTTTCCAACTCTATGGGGTTTACTGCAGCTGGAATAGGGTTTGGGGTATATTATATTGAAATTCAATTAATGAACCCCACACTAGTAGTATTGGTATTCATCTAGGCCCCGGCAATCGACAAGCGTATTCTCAGCGCTCAGGTCGCAAAACAACCCAAGACCCAGAACCCTGAGTCCTAAGCCGGACACAGAAACAACAAGCCAGTTCTATTCAGCTTCTCAATACAGCACAACCAGTAGGGGTTGGGTTGATAGGGTTTAGGTTTTAGGGTTAACCGTCACGAACCCTGCCCCGTGAAAACCTTGTTCCGGTTCTCAAGGTTCCCTTTCATGCATAAAGGATGGTGGGCTCGAGTCGAGGGCTTTCGGGGGTAGGATTTAGGAATTTAGGGTTTGGGGTATCGCTCAGGCCTAGCTAAACTAAGCAAGGACAAGCTGAAATCCCAAGTCCCTACGTCTTTGCGACGGAGGCCATCCAGCCTCCAGTGCGGACAGAGTCCACTCCTCTGATTGAGGCCTTGGCCTGGGATCTTAGGTCGGGGCACTTACTTGGGAGTTTCGGAAAATTAGGGCTACCTTTTTTAAGGGTCCGTATAATAGGGATCCTACTATTTAGGGTACTATATTAGGGTCCCCTATTTTCGGAAGCTCCCATTTGTCTGTTTTCTCAGGGCTTTGTAGCGTTTTGTAAGGGTGGTATCCAGGGCTTGGGGTTTGAGGCATTGTAGTGGACGACGGCTTCTTTGGTTGTCGGGATTTCAGGCCTTTGTTCCGCCTCTTGGGGGGTCGGGGGACTTAGTAAGTAGATAGTAAGTAGACTTATAAGTACCCTAAAAGGGACCCTAATTGGGGTTATGGTACTTATAAGTCCCTAAAATAACCAGTTACTAAGTCCCCCGACCCTCCAAGCTCTGCTTCAAGAAGTGTCTGTGCTCGGAGGAGAAGCTGCAGAAGCTGCTCGAGTCATGATTTCCACACCTGTACCTGCTGCAGATCTACTTAAAGCTGCCCACAAACCCTGAGTCCCGATAACAGGCCCTGGAAGCTTTAGACAGCTCTTAAACATGAGACTCCGTATCTAAAGGTAGAACTCCTCATAGACTAGGACCTAGAGTAGGCCCTTATTCCCTTTTTTTAGGGTTCAGGTCCCCTTATAAGCCCCTTTAAACCAAAAAGGGCACCCTTTTTGTTCCTAGGCTACTCTTGGGTCTAGTATAGACTTATGGAGTTTTGACTCCTAAAAGCTCTGCAGTCGCTTCCAAGACCTACACAGCCCAAGGCCTAACTCCACCGAAAGCTGTCGAACAGCCGGCCCAAAGCCCCCAAAGTCATCTTCATACCCTCCGCCATGGAAAGAACCCCAAACTCCCAACGACCCCCTGAATCCTAAACCCTACTTCCAGCGATCCCTGAAGCCGGGATCCCCTAAAAGGCGGCCGGCTTGGGACGCATTCGTGTACCAAAAGCCGGCCCAAAGCTAAGCCCTAAGCCCTATCGGAGTTTCAATCTGCACCTCCCTCAACCTTAAATCCCTGCCTCTTCTCGAAGGCTAGAGTTACAGTTTCGGCTTTTTCAAACGTCTTAACGCTTAATGCACGGGTCTGAGTTATCAATATACCCTTCTCGTAGTCTCTTGTTATACTAGAATACACCCCCGCTCAACGCCGCTTTCCAAAACAAGAAACACTCAATTTCGAACTGCGGTGGGACTTTGGGGCCCTATACTACTAAGGGTACTTTATAGGAACCCCCATTAAGGGATCGAACCTTGCGGGCAGGTGGAGCTCACTGCAGATCAGGCGCCGGCTCTGCGTTCTAGGCTTACAGTACGGTTGATGATATAAATCCTGCATTTCCCATAAGAAGGAATATACCATAATTCCCGTAGTTTAGGGTCCTTAAGGTTATGCAGGATTTATATCATCAACCGTGCTTCAGCCCACGACCCTAACCCGGAGCCCGGGACTCCAGCTTTGGGGCGTGAGGTTCGGTTTGAGGGTTTAGGTTCTACACCCCAAACCCCACGCCCCTTTAAGAAGCGGCCGCTTTGGGCCCAACCCCAAACCCCACACAAAGAACCCAGAGACTCCAATAATTTAAGGTATATAAATTTGCTCAATTAAGGGATATTGGAGTCTCTGGGAAGCTTTCCGGTTGAGGGTTGACTTGCCGTGTGCGGTTGGGCATGTGGTTCAGGCTTAGCAACCCTCACACCAGCAGCCCTGAGCCAACTGTAATGCAAAAGTCCCATACCTCTGTGAAAAAGGGGCCAAAATAACTGCCAATACTGTTTTGGTGTTGTCTTATTATGTATGTATATATATATATATCTATGGGTGGTTGTCAAAAGTATGGTCTCTTTTCGGGTCCATATTATAATACGGCACCTAATACTTAGGGTACCCAAAAAAGGGAACCTAATTTTGACAACTACCCATATAGACCCTTGCCAGGGATGGTTTTTTAGCATCCGAGGAGCTTCAGCCCTGCTTTCCTGCGATGCATTCACTCTATTTATATATGTATATATATATATATATATATATATTTATGCTATAATATACCTTATTATAAGGTTATAATATAACCTCCGGTCTGATGATTCCATGCCTCTAGATTCATCCCAAGAGTCTGCGCCCAGCGACCGTCATTTCTTCAGGCTCCCCTTTAGGGCCTTTAGGGTTTAGGCTTTAGGATTTTAGGGTTTAGGGTTTAGGTTACGGACCTGCTAGTTTGAGGCGTGTCAAGGTTCAGCGTGCGGGTCTGTGTTATTACCGGCAGAACAGGCAGTGCATTGGGTTTAGAGTTCAGGGTCGAGAGAGGGTTTGATGTGCAAGGTTTCCGGTTGAGGGGTTGGATCACCAGGCGGGAAAATCAAGACCCCAAAGTGCTGAGCTGAGCCTGACTTCCCCTTTCATCCAACCATGGAATCAAGGCGGAATCCTAGGCTTTCAGGTTTAATGTTTAAGGGGGATGAGTCTCCTGCATAGCACCTGCAGTAGACCGCTTAAAAGCCTGCCTTGTATGCCTCGCCTGCTCGACCTTTGTTCCAGGAGCCACCTCCTCACCACAGCATAGCATCCACAAGACCTAAGCCCTAAACCCTAACCCCAAACCCGCTGCAGATCGCTGTGGTCGTGGGGAGCTCGGGGGCTCTCAGTGCACATGTGAAACGGGGAGGGGAGCGGGCCTTAATGCCCATAAAAGGATGATTTAAGGAAGTATAGTCCCCAATCTCTCGCTCCCCTACCCCCATAAGCCCTAAACCCTAAACCCTGCAGGTCCTGATGACTTTAGTCTCCCTACCCCCCTAAGGGTCCCTATGAAACCAGTGCCTCTGAATGAAGGCTTTTTCAAACTCCGGCCTGAAGGTCTCTGAGGTCTTCGGGGTCTTTGGCTGTTGGAGGCTTTGGTCTTTGGGGTCTTGCCCAGAGGTCCCAATACCCCTTAATTCAGGAATGTACCTTAAAATCATAATACTAAGGCCTCTATAAGTTGAGGTATATTCCTTATTTAAGGAATATACCTTAGATCATAATTCTAAGGCCTCTATAGTTTAAGGTATATTCCTTAATTGAGGGGTATTGGGTTCTCTGGGTGGGGTATAGAGTACAGGTCTTAGGGTTCTTTGACGAAGCTTCGATGGGTCGACAGCGTAAAGGCAGTCTTGAAGGTGGCAGCTGTGAAAGAAAGGACCGAGGGCACTTTACGGGGGTCTTTGCCAGACCACTTAAATCTTTTACTGCGCATTTCTTACACGCGGGCTGCAGGGTTGTTGCCTACATGTGGTTTTCTCATGTTTTCTCTGCAGCTCCGCATGAAGCATTCCGAAGCAGGTCGTGCACAGCTTGTAGTCCAACAGGCCGTGTGACTGTAGCACACTCAGGCCAAGAAGCTGCAAGGGAAAGGGTTGAGGGTTAAGGGTTTATACAAAATGTATGAATGGTTTAGGGCGTTTAGGGGTTAGGATTGATGCAAATGGTTCCAGGGTTTATACAAGTTGCATAGTTTCGAGAATGGGGTTTGCGCAAGTCATGCTCGGCTTTGAATCGCAGACTCTCGTTTGCGCATATTTCCAATGCGTGTGCCTCTTTTCTAGATACGCATTGAGTCATGTACGTTCAGATCCAGCAGAAGCCAGCTTTTGTCGCCATCTTTGGCTCAGCACGAGCAATTCCAGCCAGTGTTGTGTGCAACTGGAGCTTCTTAATCCTTGCCGGGCAGGTACCTGCGGAAATGTCTTCTAGTCCTGGTTCCACTCCCCTCAACATCTCAGACCATAAATGGTAAGGACTTTATGCCCAAGAACCATGAAGGAAGTAGTTTTAGCGGATTTAGAGCTCCAGCTGTCTGGTTAGAGACAGCAGCAGCATGTAGAGATCATGAAGCGCAAGTTTGATCCGTCCGTGCAGCTCATCCGGGTGTGGCAACTGTCGGGAGAAGAACTGGCTGCTATACCCGTGGAAGAGTTGCGTGACGTGGAGTCTTTGAAGCTGCATCTGCAGCGGACTTGTGAGCTGCCCCCGAGGTTTCGGCAGAAGCTTTTGCACGACGGTGTAGCACTCGAAGATGACATGGTGCTGGATTCTCCTAAAGATGTCAGCCTGGTTGTTCTTCCCTTGCTTCGCCCTACTGCCGAACAAGCTGATGAACTCCTTGAGGCTGTTCGCATGGAAGAAGTATCTGGTATCGAGGAAATCTTGAATCGAGCCCAGGATCCAAATGCAGCCGGCACTCAGGGTGAAACCCCTCTGTGCGTGGCAGCTAAACTTGGCTATGCTGAGATTGCGGAGCTTTTGTTGGAGGCAGGGGCCGACAAGGATAAACCCAGCCTGGTGTTGCGGCACTACAGCTATGACGCTACTACGCCTCTCGGTGTAGCATGTCAGAATGGTCATACGGACATGGTACGCTTGATGCTGGAATTCAGCGCCAGTGTCCAAAAGAAAAGCGCTGGGATTCTTCCCCTGAGCTGGGCATCTGCAAAAGGAAAGCCTGAAATTGTACGGCTGCTGCTGGATGCAAGGGCCGACGCAGGCAAGACCAGCGCTGGAGGGATGCCACCTATTCACGTTGCAATCCTTGTCGACGATGTGGAGACGACCCGTATGCTTCTAGAGAGCAGAGCTGACGTGGAAGAGCACGGCGAGCACGGCCTTACTGCTCTTGGCTTGGCAGCCTGGTGCCGGCATAGGGATGTCATGCGCTTGCTGCTGGAACAACGTGCAGATGTGGAAAAGCGCTGCAGAGGAAATCCTGTGATAGACTTGGCCCCCTGGTCTGACGACTTGCTGTCACCAGGAGGGCCACCTCCACGTGAGATTTCAAACTGGGATTCTGTTCAAATGTGCAGGGAGATGATGCTGGAAAGCCAGGACTATGCACGGCGCCTGCGGGAGTCGTATCGTCGCTGATGACATCCGTGCCTGAAAGCGGGAAAGTGGGTAAAAGACCAAGCGACAGCACTCTTCTCCAAAGCTGAAGCAGACACACATACATCCATATCAAACTAATTATGTAGCACTCTTGCCGATGCTGACGTGGGACTCTCTTACTCTCATTATGGGCTTTTGTGGCTGTCCTATGGACTACTGCGCCAAGCAACTACGACTCCCTGGAGCTCCAAGCCCTCGACCCCAACCTAACCCTACCTTAACCGAGGGCTCCTTATTATGATTTCCCTATATAGGTCCTGAAAAAGGTAGGCTATTCAGGGTTAAGTTAAACCTGAAACCCTAAAACCTTAAACCCTAAAACCCTAAACCCTAAACCCTAAACCCTAAACCCTAAACCTTCAACCCTACCGGGCTCTATCTCCTTTTCGTCAACACCCCCACCCGAACAAGAGGCCCAAAGCCTCAATTCGCAGGTTTTCAAGTCAGAACCCTTGACCTTACAAAAGGGGGTCTACGGGGGTTTATAGGGTTCCCTTAACGGGATCTATGGGGGTTTTTAGGATTCCTTTACAGGGATCTATAGGGTTTAGGAGTTTAGGGGGTTTGGGGTCTAGGAGTTTAGGACCCTTAGGGTTTAGGGTTTAGGCTTTAGGGTTGAGTGTAGGAACCTGATTAGGAAACCCCGGGCGTATAACCCAAAGGTAGTAGGACTCATAAGAGGAGCCCTAGTAAAGGCCCAAGGTTGCTTAATCAGGTTCCTACATTACACGACATCCTCAAATCCTGAAACCAGAAATCCACACCCAAGAGTTTCTTTGAGTTTACGGGCTCGTTTGTAACCCTACACCCTAAACATTAAACTCTGAACTTAAACCGTAGACCCTTAACCCTAAACTTAAACCGTAAACCCTAAACCCTAAACTTAAACCTTAAAGACTAAACCCTATGCTTGTCGCGAGGTAAAAGGCATGCAATCCAATGCGAAGCTCGCGTGCCGACCTCAGCCGAGGGTTTAGGGTGTAGGGTTGCAGATTTAGGGTGTAGGGTTGCAGATTTAGGGTCTCAGGTTTAGGGTTTAGAATTCTGGATGGTTCTGCCTGTGCTGTATGAAACCGAATGGGACCTCTCCGTGGGTTTCGGGTTTAAAGAAGCACTTAAAGGCTCATGGGACTTAGTAAGTGAGGTTATAAGTAGGTTATAATTAGGATAACCCCACTTAGGGGACTTATAACCCCAATTATGACCTACTTACTATGTCCCATGATCCTTCAAGCAAGAGCAAAGCCAAAGCAAGATGGTGCAGATCCAACTGCGATGAATTCCGTACGTCAGCGTAGAGGGTTTAATGCCCAGCTCAAATCTGACGTCTTTCAGTAACTCATTCATACACTCTGCAGCTCAGAGTTTCAGAGTTTCAGGTTTACACTCCAAGCCCTTAAACGCATTCTCGGAAGCTGGCGGCTGAGGATTTGAGTAAGTCTCAGTCAGTGGTTTAAGGTTTAGCGTTTCGAAAGATTAAGCATCACCCTAAACCCTAAACCTTAAACCCTAAACCCTAAACCTTAAACTATAAGCCCTAAACCTTAAACCTTAAACCTTCAACCTTAAACCCTAAACCCTAAACCCAAAGTGCTTGCGTTTTGAAGCCTAGCCCAGAGCTCTCCAAACTCGAAGACTTTAGGATTTAGAGTCTCTAAGCCCTAAACCCCTAAACCCCTACCGCTAAACCTAAATCTTAGGGGGGTTTAGGAGTTGGGGTCTCTAAACTCTAAATCCTAAACCTTAGGGGTCTAGGGGTTTAGGGTTTAGGGTCTAGGGGTTTGGGAGTTAGGGTCTCGGGTTTAGGGGTGTAGGGGTTAGGGTGTACGGGAGAGGCGAGCCCCTGAAACCCCATGAGCTATAGATCCCTAAGCCCTTAGCTTAGTAAGCCTTCATCCCTCAGCGACTTCGGTTTAGACCCCTACACCCAAACACCCAAAACCCGAAGCCCTAAACCCTGAGCCCAGAATCCGAAGCTCTATATCCGAAGCTCTACACCGAAATCCGAGCCACAAAGAATTGAATCCTAAACCCCTAAACCCTATACCCTAGACCTAAACCCTAAACCCCAGGCCTTGCGATAGTAGGACGGTCCTGCAGTCGTAAAGAGGAGCTCAAAAAAACCCTAAACCCTCGACTCACTAGGACTCTCAGCCACCAGCTTCCGAGAATGCATTTAAGGGCTTGGATTTAGAGCCTAAGCCCTCCAAAGCAACCTCCCCACCCATCGAGACTCCCTAAACCCTAAACCTTAAACCCTATACCCTAGACCCTTCACCCGAAAGCTTAACGCCCTCAAGCCTTAACTTTGGGGTTTAGGGTTGCTTAGGGTTTCATCGAGACTTCCGGTGCATTTGCCAGGCCTTTACTCGAGAAGTTCGAGGAGAAGGCCTGGACAAATGGCTGATCTTGGGGTTTGCATATGGGTTAGGAGGGCTTAAGGGGATTGCAAGGATCTAGGTCGAGGGTTTAGGGTTTAGGGGTTTGGGGTTGAGGGTTGACGGTTTTGGGTTGAGGGTTTAGGGTTTTAGGGGTTTAGGATTAAGGGTTTTTGGGTGTAAAGGGTGTAGATGGACTTCAGAACGTGTTCTCGGGTGACAATTTTGCAAATTTGGTGGAAGGCTTTGCACAAGGATCTCAAGAGCGTCTTGGGGTTTAGGGTTTCCTGTTCACATTCAGGGCTTGAGGGCTTTAAAGTAGGAGCCTGATTCAGAAACCTTGGGCCTTTATCAGGCTTCCTTTTATAAACCTCATTATTGTTGGGGCATTAGGGCTTCGAGGTTCAGGGTTTGGGGCTCTTGGGCTTCAAGGCTTTCTCTGAATTCTCCAGAGGCATCCTTCTTCTCTGAGGAGCAAAAGCCGAAGCCTCAACAGATACTACGATGATTCCTTCCGCAGCCATAGGCATGTAGTGTTGGATACTGCCCCCACTCAGTAACAGTTGGATAATATTCATAGTATAATTATATTAGCACCTTATTAGTAGGCCTATTATAGACTGATACTGTATGGCGGCAGTACCCAAATGTAGTGTGTGATACTCGAAAGCCACGGTTTAATCATCTGGGCCATAAGTCATCCCCGATGGCCCTAAGCCCCGAAACGGCTTAAACGCACAGAGGCCTAAACCCTGTAAAACCCTAAGCCCCTAAACCCTAAACTCCCTAAACCCTGTAAAGCCCCTAAACCCCTAAACCCTAAACCCTGTAAAACCCTAAATCCCTAAACCCTAAACCGTAAACCCTGTAAAATCCTAAATGCAGCATCCGAAAGGTGGACACTGGGCACCCAATCCCGAGCCACAACATGAAAAGGGAACCCTTACTTGAAGGATCATGGGACTTAGTAAGGGTTCTTAAAGGGCTCCTTAAAGGGATCTATAGGGTTCCTTAAAGGGATCTATGGGGTTTAGGGTTTAATGTCTACTTAGAGGATCATGGGACTTAGTAAGTAGGTTATAATTGGGGTTATAAGTCCCCTAAGTGGGGTTATCCTAATTATAACCTACTTATAACCTTACTTACTAAGTCCCATGAGCCTTTAAGTAATCATTAACCCGAAACTTCACTTCACTTCACTGATGCCAGAGGGAAATCCTGTGCTAACCAAAGCATGCAAGGCCAAAAACGATCCTGCTGTAGGATCGTAGCCAAACTAAATGACAAAGACAAAGCGGGAGCCTGTACAAAAACGGAAGGCCTCAAGCCGCCGGATAGGCCCAGAAAGCTCGCACGGAGAGCGAGGACGGGGCCGCAAGAGAAGAACCGGCGATGACGGCGCGAGCAGACGAGGCCAAGGAAGCAGAGCTCGCAGCCAGAAACACAGGACCAGCAGGGGACCAGAAGTCCAGGAAGACGGCAGAAGGAAGCAACCGCCGCAAGAGGACAAGGCCCTGTTGACTGGGACGCCCGGGAATCCAAAGGGCGCCAAACCGCAGAACGACCTTGCAGGTCATACGGAAGGAGACCAAGGCGGCAGCAATCCCCAACAGAGACCATCTGCCGGAGGTCGCATCGCCGAGAGACACAGGAGCACCAAGCCCGGAAGACGAGGCGCGACGGAGGACGCCGAGCGACCGGAAGGCCCGGAACTCCCAAGGAGCAAGGAGCTCCAAGGCCGACCACAAGGGCCAGAAGCCATGCCACGATGAAGGAAGCCGAAAGACCCCACCCATGGCAAGAAGCCCGGGCCACCAGGGCGTAGGCAGAGCCCAATCCTGGCCTGAGGCAGCCCCATCAACAAAGGAGAGCCAAGGGGGCAGAGAGCCCACAGATGACAAAGATGGAGCAATGCGGGACAGGGAGGGCTCCGAGACTGGGGCCGTGGCGAGGGGAAATCCAAGTTCGGCAAGGGTTGGAGCAGCGAGGGAGGACCCCGCAGCGGCCCGTTGCAAATTGCCGGGGACGAGGTCGGAGAGGGCCGGCGGCTGCACCGCATCCCACTCCTGTTGCAGCTCCTCCTCATCAGCAGGCAGACCCAAATCCGCGGCCCGGCGCTGTGCTGGGGTGGCATTGCAGGGCCCGTATAGGCGTTGTGGGGGAACACCCCTGTGGGCCGTTCTACCCTTGCGTTTAGTGCCCGACCCATACTGGTAGACAGGCCCCACCGTCACCCGCAGTCCATGCAAGCAGGCCCGGTGGGATTGCAGATGGTATTTCAACCGGTCCGAAGAGTGGAAGTCGTGCATGCACCAGAGGCAGACAGAGCCGGCCATGTAAGCTGTCACATCGGACAGCACACCATGTTTGCGATGCAGGTGGGCTCGGACCGCGTGCAGGCTCGGGAAGATGATGCTGCACACAGGGCATCGATGGGCCTGGGGGGGTCCTAAAATTAGGGTGGCCCTACGGGTAGAAAGGTCATCCCAAAGCTGAGCACAGGCAATGTACCGATGTCCAAACTTGCTGAGTGCCTTGCAGGCACGAAGAAGAGCACGGCTGTGGTCTTGGACAAACAGAGCTGTGACGGCGGGGGGGGAATTAGGGTCCCAAACCTCAAGCGCAACGCCCACCCTCATACATGCCGCGACGAGGGCCTGGCACCAAGGGAGGGCCCTGTTCCACGCCGCATCGACGATGTCACGCACCGCCGTGGGTGCTTTACAGAAAAGCTGGACGCAGAGGCGACACTGGCTGATGGTGGTAGCCAGGTCAGGAGGAGTAATGTCAGCGAGGAGCCGGAGCAGTGGAGTGGTGAGCTTGTCCCCAACCTGCCATGAGGACAGCAGGATCCTGGCCGTGCGTTCAAAAAGGCCAGCGAGAGGGGCCGTGGCACGGCCGGAGTCGGCCAGAGACATAGCAAGGGAGGAATAAGCAGAGGGCAGGACTCGTCCCGCGACCCAAGCCCGTTTAAGTTCCCAGGGCAAGCAATTGCTGCAGAGGAGAGTGCGAGCAAGGGAGGCCGCAGCGGCGCCTCGTTGGGCGGCAAGCTCACAGTCGCGGCGGCCCGTATCCCGAGGCAGCTGAGCCACACCCAGATACTTGTACTCGGGACACAACTTGATGCTGTCAGAGTCAGAGATCTTTAACATGGCATCGCCGGTGAGGAGAGCTCCGCGGGCCGCTCGAGCGCCCTCCCCCCGGATGTCAACAAGGGCCTCAGTTTTACCCGCACCCAAATTAACACGAAATCGGAGGAGTCGGAGAGTGTCAAGGATAATGCCGACCAGCGCGGGCAGTTGAACAAGAAGATCAGCTGGTCGGTCAAAATCGGCCATAACCGCAAGGTCGTCAGCCCAACCGATGGGCTTGACCCCTGGGGAGAGGCCAACTTCAGCACCGGCGCTGGTGTGAACAATTCCCTGACGGGTGGCAGCGCGCTGGATATGCTGAAGGCCAACAGCGAAAAGGGCTCCAAAGAGGATGTCGGCTAGGCCATCACCTGGACGAGACCCCCGTGACGCAAGAAAAATGTTGGAAGAGCCAGAGAGTGACCAGTGGGAGAGGGCGACACAGTCACGGAGGAGTGCAACAACATCCTCTGCAACACCCAAGGCAGTAAGGGCCCCTTGTTGTTGAAGACTGAGCACCAGCCCAGCAAGGTGGTGATGCTCTGGCAGGGCAGTGTCATCAGGGAAGCCTTCAAAGAGGAGATCCCGGCTGGCCTCATAGTACGCGGCCTGGATATCGACGAAGACCACGGCAACACATCGGCCAGCTGAGATGGAAAGGTCCCAGGCACAACGGAAGGCGGCCAACGCAAATCCTGTGTGGACACCCTTGCGGCCCCCAAGCTGCATAGGCTCGTATCGCGACAAGACGTGGCCTCCCACAGTGGAGCGCAGGTGCGAGTGCCATAGCTTCGCGATGCCGTTCAGTAGCGCGATAGAGCGGTAATTAGCAGGGAGAGAGGCTGGGCCCTTCTTGTAAAGGGCGCATACAATGGCCGCCTTAAAGTCAAAAGGCTCCCTTCCTTGGAGAGCGATGCGCACGCACAGGGGCCAGAGCCACTGCCCTGCTGAGGCTCCCTGCGTGCGCCAGAGCTCGTTCCGCAGTCCGTCTGGTCCTGGGGCCTTGGCGGCCGCCTGTCGGACACGCATTTGTTCCATCTGCAGGAGGGTGGGAACCGCCTCGGCACACGGGAGGCGCGGTTCGTTCATCCATCGCTCAGCGGCGCTGGAGAGCTGCACTGGGCTGACCAGACTGGCCCCCTCCTGGTCGCGGAACTGGGCCTCCAACTCGCTATCAATGTCGAAGCCACCGGCTGCGTGAACAGACCGACGTTCGTGTGCCTTGCGAGAGGCCCAGCGAAGATGCCGGATGGATTCCAAAGGGACTCCGGTGGCTTCCCAGTGTTTGGTCGCCTCCAGAGTAAGTGTGCGGAAATGAGCCAGCTTGTCGGACCTCGCTAGATAGTGGGCCTTCTGCTGAAGACCCCGTACATGGAGATTACAAGCCTGGAGAAGAAGGCGGGCATGCTGCAGGCCCGTCGGATCAGGGCGCAAGGGTGCAGCATCGGGGTGTCGGTGTGTGCAACCCAGTCGCCACACTTGCAAGAGAAAGCGGCGCTGCTGCCACTCCAAATTAGTTCGCAGCCGGGGGAGCTGTTCTCGCGCCTGCCGAACTCGATCGAGTGCGGTGACCGAGGCCGCTGTGATGTAGGGCTGTCGGATGGGGCGGCGTGGAGGGCGAGGAAGGGCCCGAAGGAAGGAGGAGTGCTGGGTTTTAAGAGCCTGCACTTCGGCGCCCACGCTATCGATGTGCCTGAGGGTGGACGGCAGAGCTCCCCAAAGATCGGCAGCGATGGCTCGTGCCTGGTGCACAGTGGCGCGGGGCGGGGCCGGCGCCTTGGGCCGGGTGGCCTGGCCCCGGAGGTCGCACTCTACCAGAAGCGGCATATGATCCCGACGACCATTGAGAATGTCCAGCTCAGGAAGCTGTCGGGTGCGACGGCAGGACCAGGGGCCAGCCTGGAGCAAGATGTGATCTAGACGCTTGCGGGTGCCGCCAGTATGCTCCCAGGACCAGCCCGGGCCGTCTTGAAGGTCCGAGAAGGAGGCAGGGGCGAGGAGGCCAAAACGCTGGATGGTATCAAAAAGGCCTTGCTCGCCCGCTCCTTCCTCGCCATTACCAAGAGCATCTCCGATATATGCATGGTCGTCATCGGCCCAAAGAAGATCAGCGTTAGCATCGAGACCCAGGACCAAAGTGAGGGCCCGTGGGAGCTGGCACAGCTGAGATTGCAGTGAGGACCAAAAGTGGTGGATTTCGGGCACTGGTCTGTCGGCGTGTGGAGCATGCGCCGCGACAACGGCCAAAGGGAGGTCCGCCCTTTTACAGACTATGACTAAAAGTCTTGGGTCTGCACAGGCAATACGCCAGTCATCCAGGCGGAGGGGGGGGTTAACTAGCTGGGGCCTAATCCAAATTTCGCAACCGTAGCTACCTTTTTGGGCACCGGAGCGCCAGGTGAGAAGGCCAGCTGTGTCCCATCGGCCTCCTTTGCTGCGCGTCTCCTGAAGGCAGACTACATCGAGGCCCAGTTGGGCGACTTGAGAGTACAAGTATTGACGCCTCTGGCCATGACCCGACGGGTTAAAGAAGGAGGCACAAGAATCTCGCATTGTTTGAACATTAGCCGTAACAATGCGAAGGGAAAGCGAGGGTGCTAGCGACAACGATCGCTGGGGCTCTAGCGACGGAGCAGCACAGGGCACCTCGGGGGGAGGGCACTGGACCTCGGACCCTCGACCGGCTGGCGCATGGGGGAGTGATTGTGCGGTGAGGCGGACACAGGGTCTGCCTTGGATCACCTTGGCATGTGGAATGAGCCAGAGCCAAGGCGCCGCTTCCTGCAGCAGAGCGGGGAGGGCAGCATCGACATGTTTCCAGGGATGCCACGAAGTCCGGCCGGCCCAGCCAGCGAGAAAGTCGGCGATCGTATTAGGGAGAATGCCGACATGGCTGTGCACGTGTTGAAAGCGAGTGGACATGCGGGACTGGACAGCTTGCCAGATATATCGAGTGAGGGTGGTGACTGGCTCACTGGCCTGCGCTTGCCCAGCCGCGATCTGGAGCGCAGAGGCATTGTCAACCGCAATGGTGACCTTGGTAGGCGCTGCCGACGTCAGAAGGGAGAGACGGTCGGCCCAAGCGAGGAGCCAGAGGCCCGCGGCTTGCAGGGCCCAGAGCTCAGCTTGAAAGGAGACACCACTCCCGGGGGCCGCAGTGCCAGAGATCCAAGGGGTATCGGCCCCCGCGGCGCCGAACCAACCAACCCGGTGCCACTTGTGACGCCACCAAACCCATACGCAGAAGGCCCATGCTCCTCCCCGCTCGCCGCTCCCATCAGTGGCGATGAGAACCTGATCGGGTACACCGCCAGACCAGAGTGGGAAGCTGGAGAAGGCCTGGCGATAAGGCGCTAAAGCGGTTGCCGGGAGATTCGGGAAGAGGTCGTGCATCCACCACAACTGGTGCAAGGAGGCTTGAGCGGCACACTCCTGATGGATATCTGCCGCCCAGGAGATTCCATCCGGGCTGTGCCAATCTGGCGCCCCCCATGCACGAAGATAGCAACTGGTGCGGGAGAGCAGCCCGAAATCCACTTCATTAGGCGATGGACCTGGGGTCCGAGCAAGGGCATTAATGGGGACCGGCGGGAAACCTAGGGCCATCTTACCCGGAAACAACTCGGGCAGCCCAGCCAGAATAACCCAAGCACTGAGAAGAAAGAACCAGTGCCGACCCAGGCGCCCGTGAACGACCAGGCTGGCAAGCAACGGAAGCAAAGTGCGGGAGGGAGCGCTGCCCAGAGGGGAGCCGCTGTCACCATCCCGCAGGAGTCCATCTGCACCATGGCGAGGCACCACGCGAACGCTTAGGGGGGGTTGGGCAGGCAAGACATGGGCCCAATGTAGATTAGGGCTTTCAGGGACAAGATGAAGCCCAAGGTCGTCGACACGGGCTGCTGGAATCCAGCGGCCAACACTGAACCGGACCAAAGAAGGGCGGAAAGTGCAATGTTCAGGATCCCACTGTTCATCACTGGTAGTGGGGACAGTAAGCGGGACCGGATCTCCCGGGCCATGCAAAGAGAAGTCCAGGCTGCCTGATGCGAAAGGGGCTGCCCCAGAAGGCTAGCTGACGAGCCTGGAGAAGAGTTTCCCAGAACCGCCCGACGGGTGAGCGGAGGCGCGGTGCCCACGTGGCGCTGGCCAGAGTCAGGACATCACCAGACCGGAGGAATAAGGTGGGATTACAAGTCGTGGCAGTACCGCACCAAGCCTCTGAAAAAAGCCAAGACGTATGACAGGTCAGGAATAGAGTGTCTGCTGGCTCGAGCAAGATCAGCCACAGCACAGGTAGCGGGCAGAAGTGCAGCTCTAGTGGCAGGCGGGCATTGGATCAGAACAGTGGCAAACAACGGAGCCGAAGGTACCGGGACCCAATCAATGAACCGGTGGTCTTGAGGTGGACGGACCCTGGTGAAATCGGACCAAGCTGGTGCGGCCTCCTGTAGAGCAGGTGGGCCCCGGAAAAGGTCCAAGGAGGCCCCTAGCAGGGTCCCAGAGGCGGTGGCGAAAGCCAGGCGGTTCGGCAGCTGATCCGTCGCAGCTTGACGCAGCCAGAGACCACTGTCGACTGCCGCCCTCGTGGGGAAGACGCGCCCCCGACACCGGAGGGAGAGCGAACAACCAAGCAAGCAGGAGAAAGTAGCCCGGGGCCGAGGAGGCAAAGCCGAGTGCCCACCAAGCCGCAAGCCCCAGAGAGCAGGGGAGCCAACAGGGGGGGAGGAGCCCTGGGCAGCCGGAAACAACATCGCCGCTGCGAAGGGTCGTCCCTTGGCGCAGTTCCTGGTGTGGGACACCAAGGACGCGGGGCTGAGAGGAGATAGATGGGAGCTCAGTCCAGAGTTGCCAGGCATCAGTAACGGCTGTGACAAGGGCACACCAGCAATGGCCGTCTGCTTCCACAATGACATTGACCCGCGTGGGGTCCTCCGGCAGCAAAACCAAGTGGGCGTGATCCTGGGCGATCCAGGGAACCGGAACCCAACGCCCAGGATAATGCAGGCTAAAGTCACCGTCAAAAGTATAGTCAAGAGCGCGCCAGCGGCTGCCTGCCGGCGCGTGTCCCCGGGTTGCTCGAACAGCGGGCCTCCAGAGTATGAAGCTGACGCGGGTGGAGACCGAAAAGTCAACAGCCCAGATGGCGCAATGCCGCACTTGAGCGTCGGAGTGAAAGCACGGGGGTTGATATTCGGGCGCAAAAGCTGCAGGAGGAAGTGCGACAACCAGGTCTCCAGAGCGCCAGCGCACTTCTTGGTCAGATGTGGCATCGGCTGTGAGAGCACTGGGTGCGCGAACAGAGAGAGTTTGCATCGGCTGTAAGAAGCGGAGCCGCGCTCATCCAGGACACAGAGGTAGTGCAAGGCACCAGGATAGAGAAGTGCCGATCTAAGGAGGAGACTGCTAAGCAGACAAGGTCAGGTGTCGGGGGGCGGGGAACAACCAGTAGGGCCGGTATGGCAGCTGTCGGCCACACAGGTGCAACTTCAGCACCCCAATTTGGGTCGCAGGAGCGTGTCAGAGCATTAAGCTCTTCAGTAGTCGAGGCAGTGGGCAGGCGCCCAGCCTCCTGGGGACCTGTGAAGGGACTAAGAAGGACAATGTCAATCTCTGTGCGGTTGGTGAGATCAACCAGATCGGCCGCAGCGGCTGGGGCCCGCCACGGGAAGAAACCCACTCGTATGGGCTGTTCCGGCAAATCTAAAGCGGGAATCATGCCCTGACCGGCACCAACCAAGCAAGCAAGGGCGAGAAGCCGGGGCCATCTGGCGGAAAGGACAGCAAGCCAGACCCAGCGGCCAGAAATGGCCGCGGCAACAGAGGACGAGGGCCCCCAACGTGGGCGCGCAACAGGGCCCGGGGCCGGACCCGCAAGGCTTTGCAGGGGCGGTCCGGTAGGGTCCCAAACCGTATCAGCAGTCGGGTCCAGCACAAGAACATCCCCATCTCGGAGAGGACTGTCTGCCCGAACGTACTGCAGAGCGGGTAGAAGGCGCCACCCAGGCGGTGCACGGAAGGCATTGCAACCAGCGAGCAACAACCCCTGAGGCTCAAGATCGGGGGGCATTAAGAGGAGGACATGGGCCTCACCAGTGGAGGTGCTGTGCACCAGGTGCAGACTGGATAGATCCCCAGAGAGAACAGGGACCCATGACCCTGACAGCGCTCTGCCATTAAGACTCCAGAAGGTGGGACCCTCGGGATCCCAATAGCCGGTATCTCTGATCCGGATGCTATGGCCAGATCGACGGCCCGTATACCACAAGCAGACGTATCCGCCCGAGTCGAATCGAAAGGGGAGCGACCAGCTGGCAACTTGCCGTGCCCGTTCCAGGGAGGCATACTGCAGCAAGGGATAACGGGTAGCACCGGGGTCGGAAGGCTCGGGAAGGAGGCTAAAAGCGTCTCCGTTGCGGAGCCTGATATGCACATTCGGGATAGTAGTGCGCAGCACAGGTGGCGCTATGACTCGCCAAAACCGGGTGTGAGGAAAGACGCGAACAGCAAGCCGGTGAATGTCATCAAGAGACGAGTCAACCGAGGCAAGAGCAACGGCCGAACAACCCTCAATGTGCAGGGCCACAGTAGCAAGACCGTATGGGGCAACCGGGGCGATTGTGATCTGGGAGATTGGGAGAACCGCCCGGACAGGGAAAAAGCGATGGGCCCAAAGCCCGCAGTGGCGCGTACCTTCCTGCTCGATAGACCTCCATGATCTGGTCGTGTCGAGGAAGCTGGTCTCGCTCCATCCCCGCAGGGGGCACAAAACACGAGCCGTGAGTGGTCGGGGACCAGGGAAGCAACGTGCAAGAGGGCCATCGGGGTTATCGGGCTGCCAACCACCTAGCGGTACATAAGGCTCACCATCATTGAAATCAATGGCAGGGGGAAAGAACCTCCCAGGCCAGGGATGGGAGGGTGAGCGACTTCTGCTGGGCCGTCGCCTAGTGCGGATGGTACGCGCCTCGGAAGAGTCCGCGCTGGGGCAGCGGCCAGAGGCACTCGAGGACGCTCCCCACGCTGGTTCAAGAAGCCCGAAGAAGATAAGGGCAAGTTGGGCAGGGAGGAGAGGACGCCTCCCCAGGAGACCGAACCAGTCTCCGTCCCTGGTCTGAGCAACCTGACAAGCCCGACTGGAAGCAGGTCGGAGGGAGAACCCGGCAATGTAGAAATCATGCGCAGCGTCCCGAGCGGTCTCAACACACCTTGTGGCCCCACTAGACTGAATAATGTTGGCATGCCCCGGAGTGGAAGACTGCTCGACGAGCCAGGGGGGAGCACCTAGGTGTCCATGGCAGGGGGCCCAGCGGTGATGGCCAAGCTCCACCTCATGATGCAGGATCGTGGCTGCCGCTGCGTCCCCTGGCCTGATGGCCCAGCAACACGACCCTAGCTGAGCGGCTAGGGGACCACAGTAGCACGCAGGAGGCTTGGGCCACCACAAAATCAGAATGCCAGGCCGAGGCAGCATGGGCAGCACCCCATGTCAAGTAGACCGGGGGCTCACGAGGCCCTGCGAGAGGGTCAAGTTGCAAAGGGCAGACAGCTAGAACGTCTCCAGAACGGAGTTCGAGGACTGGCCGATCGGAGTGAACGGTGGCCCCCAGTCCGGGCTGGAGTTTAAGGCTCACACGACGGCCAAGCCTCATCTGGAGGGCCTGAGTGAGGTCTCTAGGGGTAAGGAAGGACGGCAGGATGACACAGAGCATCTGGCCTAAACCCAAGACAATAAGGCAAACCAGCCTACTTCCCGGGAGAGGGACTACAACCTGGGACCCTTCTAAAACCAGGCCAGTGGCAGCAAATCCCCGATGCCACGATGTCAGAGTGCGGTGGGCGTCTGCCATAACATCGTCAAAGAGGTGACGTGGGTCAGCCTCAACACGATGCCATGGCGCAAAAGGGTTGGCCACAGTAACCAAGACCCTGGGTGGAGCAGCTTGTGGAATAGCAGAGGATGTGGTCTGGCTCAACACCGAAGTTTCCGGAACCATAGCTTGCGAGCCAGGGAGGCACCAGGTCAGCATGAGGAGACGAGAGAAAAGGCCGGAATGGGCCACAAGGGAACCCAGCAGGAGCGAAAGAAAGGTTCCCATTCGACAGGAGGAGAGAGCTGGAACTAAGCCCAGGACCAAACCCCACAGAAGTGGGCGGCCGCCGCAGGCCCCTCGGGCAAAGTCCCCGAACACGACGTCCCCATTCCGAAGCTCACATGCCTGATTGAGAGCGTAGGAGGGGACTCCCCCCACTTGCAGGGATCCAGGGAGGAAGTGCAGCTGATCGGCAAGACTATCGCGCGAGGCGATCCGGTCAACTGTACGGCAGAGGCGGCCTTCCGGAGAGGCAGCAACCACGTTAACCTGAGCCGCGACACCGTGGACCTCGATCAGTTGTAATGCCCGGGCACTGGACCACTGGACGGGTGTCCACATACCTGGAAAGTGGTTACGAAAAGTGCCGGTGAACGTAAAGGATTCTGGGCACCAGGCTTCTCCAGCGGAAACAGAGGCCAACAAGGGTGGGCGATTAGGGCGAAGCAGGTGTACAGAAATGCCGAACATAAGTTGAAAGCCCGTAGCCCAGGGAGCGTGATGAGCTGCAAGGCCATCCTGAAGGTGCCAAGGATCGACAAACTCGAGCGGCTCAGAAGGGTCCTCCGGAGGGTCATGGATGTACACGACATCTCCGTTGCGAAAACGGAAAGCCGCAGGCGGAACATCAAAGAGCTCGCAGATCGCGAGCCCGTGCGGCAGGGAAATGCCATCAACGGGGCTGTTGATGTGGCGCGAGATAAAGTCTGTCAACCACGCCACTGTCATGGTCCGCGGAGTGAGCGTGGCCCGATGGTGACCCCGCCACATCAGCATTATGGTTACAAGGGCCGCATCTTGTCCCACCGGGACCATGGACAACTCGTTGAAGGCGGGGCCCGGCCACACAGGAAAGAAGTCAGATGCCCATCCTGGGTCGTCGTTGAGGAACTGGGCCCAGACTTGGCCGTGACGAGTGCCATGGGAGGCTGTGTATGGGGGAAACACCCCCAAGAAAGGACTGTGCAGGACAACGTAGACCGGGTCCTCCGCCGTAATGGCGGAGAAGTCCCGGTTGATTGGATCAGTACCCCAAGGGAAGCCACCTGGTCTATGCATGCCCTGTGCTAGAGCGACGCCAGCAAGGAGCCCAAGAGAGAGGGTGGGGTAACCCGACAAAAGATCAGTGAGAAGCAGCCCCAAGACAAAAAGGGGCGACCTTGTGAGGAGAAGGGGATGTCGGGGCTGCCGGCAGCAGGTTCGGCTTCGCTAGTCGGTGCAGCAAGGGCGGCGGCTTGGGCCGGCGGGGGAGGAGACCGTGACTGAGAACGAGGTCTCACAGCCAGACAGTCGCCATTACGAAATTGGACGACCGAGGACCCTTCCTGAACCTCTGGGGGGCGAAGGTCGTACTCACTCCCGTCAAGCTGCAGAGCACGTAATGCCGCGGTCCCAACACAGACCGGGAGACAGCAGGGCACAAGGCGGCCTTCCAGCACAATACCGACAGCGGCGTTCCCAGGCGCCTGTGGACACCCGATGAGGTGTACAGCGGTAGCATCAGGCTGCGGTTGCAGAGGCACAATATCGGCCCAACCCCGGCTGCGGGCGTGTCCCCTGAATAGTACAAAGGGATTGATCTCAGGGCCAGCAGAATACTCGACAAGCTCGCACTGCTGTCGGGCGGTGAAGGGATTGTGAATGCAGAAAGGGGTGCCAAGGGGGATAGCGGCAGCAAAGGAGCGCAAGCCACGTTGAAGACCAAGCAAGTCAGCCTGAACGCGGCGGACAGTGTCCTCGTCCGCGGCGGGCTCCCTTTCAATTGAAGACGGCCAGAGGCCTAGCGCGTAGTCCTCCAGCGGCCGGGCGGCGCGGAGGTACCACATACGAGGCTGGAAAGGGGCATTGACAGGCTCTGGTGGTGGTGGGCCAGCAGGGCGAGAGACCGGGTTGGGCTCCGCAGCAGACATGTTGAAGGCTTGGACAGGCGGTGGACCTTCATCCTCGGACTGTTCGTCATCCGAACTAGCAGGCGGCGCACTGATGATGGAACCTGCACCTAAGGTTGCCAGGGCAAGGAGGCGCCCGAATGCTGAAGCTCCAAAGTAACCCCGAGTACATATTAAGGTCAGAATAACCACCGAAAGCCTATCCTGTCGCCGACAGCTCGAAACACTCGCAATATCGAGCAGATCAACGGTGGAGGGGTTCACCGCAGCGCAGGTACTTTGCGAGGCGAGTCGCAGAACAGGTTGCGATTCCCCAGCTGGTTCTGCATCGGGTTCAGCAAGGCCGGCCCAGAGTCGTGAAGTGTGAAAAGAAAGCTCCTGAGACAGCATGTGAACTCGGGAAACCGTAGCATGATCGAGGCCAGTGCCATTGCCTGAGAGGTCAGTTTGGACTTCCTGATCAACCAGAGGGACATGCGATGCGCCGGCAGCACGTCGGTTCCCGTGTCCATCGAGGAGTATGGCCGGTTCTAGCGCCGGGCCCCTGCTAGGAACGTGCCGGAAGTAAGGTCCCTCAACCACCAGCGGGTCCGGGTTCCAAGGGTCGTCATCGCCCGGGATCCTCGCAAGAGCACCAATCAAAATCTGAATGACAGCTCCCGATGGAAAATCAGGCAAGGCAGCCCCTGGCGGGTACAGCTGGCCGGCGTAAGAGAGAGCAGGGCTCCGCTCTGGCAAATGGCCCCCCGGGAAGAGAGCTCTGAGATGGGCAGAGACGACATCCCAACTGAAAGGCGAATGCCCGAAAGTAACAGCCGCAGCGTCCCCCCAGTGGAGCAGCCAAAACCGGACCGTGGGTCGAGTGGCAGGTACGACCGGCACGAACAGGACATGCTGGACAGAGCTGTCCGTGGTGGAATGAGTGGGCCGGAACTCGCCGGGATCGTCAATATGGTGTAGACGGCACATCAGCTCTCGCAACCACCGTGTCGGGTAACCCTGAGGACGCCAAGGCAGGTCAACAGGTGCGTTAATGTTGAGAGTCCAGATGCGAATGGTTGTCGGAGGAGGCGGCGGAGCCTCGGCGACTGGGGCAAGAGCAAGCAGTTGAGGAGGTTGCATAGAGGCCACGTGGCGGCAGAGCATGAGCAACGCGAGACTGCCGAGAAGCGAGGGGGGCCGAGCCCGGGCTGCGACAATCTGAAGAACTCCATCAACAAGTTTACCCTCTAAACCCGGAAAAACTCTAGTAATAAGTGCCCGGGCCCCTTGCGGGCAGGGAGACATATGGCGGACTTCAGCAGAGGGCTCAACGTTATGGACAACCCCATCCGGCTCCACAGCGCAGAAGAAAAAGGAACAATGGGAGGTGTAGTGCTGGACCACCGGTCGGAGAAGCTCACAACCAATCGAGTCTCGCAGTATCCACCAGCCATAAGGTGAAGGCGGGGAGACGAGGAGATCGAGCACTTGGGGGCTGGAATCGAAAGCCACGTGCAATCCGTATTCGCAGTCTGGCAAGAAGGCGCCGAGGTAAGCACTAAGATGCTGGTCGAGGTGTCGAGCACCAACCCTCAGGTGGACGGGGCCTTGCCCAGGAAGCCAAAGGTGCATCTGCACTTCTGAGTGGGGTGAGGCGCCAGTAACATACGCGCCGAGTTGAGGTGCAGAAAGGGCGAACCCGTGCGTCTGTCGGGCAAGCTCGTGAGTCCAAGACATAGTGCAGGGCCGCGAGAAATCTCGACGGGTTTGCAGTGTCTCGGATTCCGCGAGATGAGAGATCAAGGGAGCAGGCTCGACCGTCACGCGGACTGACACCACAGGGAGAAGGAGACTGAGGGCACACAGTAGCGAGTGACGCCGCAAGCAGGGCAAGCCAAGAGCAGCAGAGGCTAAAGGGCTCGGAGGCGGTGGCGGGCTAGGCGTCTCAGCCTCGCAGTTACGCACCAGTTGGGAAACCCCTTCAGGAGAGTCGTATCCAACGCTGACACACTGCATCGCAACACCTGTGATGTCACGGGGAAACGGCCAAACACGGCTGTCGCTGGACAGAAACGTCTGTGGGAGCTCCCAGAGGGACAGGGATAGGGCCTGTGCGACAGCTTCCCAAGAGGGGGCAGGGGTGCACATACCGTAGAGTCGGCTCCCTTCTCGAAGAGCCCATACAGTGAAGCCAGGCAAACATGCAACCAAGCACTTGACGTGCCATGCATCGCACCAGAGGTCAACGAGTTCGGAAGCAGAGTCGGGTGTGACGCCGGCACCGCAAACAGACGGAGGTGCCTGGAGTACAGCAGCCGGCGTGCTGGCAGAAATGAAGGGGGCATTAGTTTGGGAACCTATGCTATGGAAAACCCGGGTCCTAGGGGGAGGAAGGGGCGGAGGCGTGCGAACAAGTCTCGGCTCCCAGCTGATGCTCAGAAGGTGCTCCCGGGCCCGTGCAAAGTCGGCCTGCACATGGACATGCCAGTAGCGACAGTCAGCCCGACCAGGAAAGGAAGTGCATTCCCAGGTTAGAACAGAAAGGCCGAAGGGCTGCAACCTCCGAAGCAGAGCCGCGGCGGGGCGGTTGCTGCGAAGAAGGCTTTCCAAGAAGGCCGGGAAAGATTCAAAGACTCCAGAGAAGGCCAAGTGCAGACCCACAGCAGAGGGGTCAGACGCATCTGTCAACCGATATGTGACACAGTCCTGACCAGGGAAGGCGGCGACGAAGGCGGCATGAGGGAGAATGTCAGCTCCGGGCAGCGCAACGAAGACATGCTGGCCTGGGGTAACGCTGCGCAGCAACGCACCCAGCACAGAAGCGTCAAGGTCGCATGCACGCGGGACCTCGAAAGATAACACGCCTGCGACAGGATGGAGCAGCGACACGATTCGACCTTCCTGAAGCCAGCGCGATGCAGTGCCATCATTATGTGGAATAACAAAGGCTGAGACGTCGAGGGTGCGCGCCTCTGTGCTGACACGCACTCGTACCACGTCCCCTTGGCGAAGACGATGGGCAGTGCCCCGAAGGATCTGGACGTCAGCCGAAGCAGCCGCGGTCTGCGCAGCCGCAAGAACATGATCAGCACTGTAGTCCTTTGGCAGTTCAACACAGACAACCTCTCTACCTAGATCCAGAAGAACCGTCAGGGTCTCAGGGCGGGGCGGGAGAGAGACAAGGTTAACCGCCTCAAGAGTAGGGCCTGAAGAAGCAGCAACAATCTGGGGGCGACCAAGTCGAATGGCCTGACGGTAGAGCTCGGCGGCAGCGTCACGAGCACTCTCAGTGTTGGCGAATTCAAGGCGGACCGAAGATCCGGGCCACCAAAGGCGGCAGGTGATGAGGAACACCTCACTGGCGGAGGGAAGAGCTGACCAAAGCGGCCCCTCGCCAAAGTCGCCAATCTGAAGCCACCTGGCCTGTAAATGCGTGTGGGCACCGGCTGGGGCCGCAACCTGACGGTCAGGAGCCCGACTAGCTGAAACCACAACATCCCTAGGAGTGGCAGGTGCACTGTGCATCTGAACGGCATTACCTGGCATCCCACAGGAGATGACGAGGCACACACCCCAGGCAAGGAGGCTCCCGACGTCATGATGCAGCCCACGCAACACACAAGCCGCCAAGAGAATACCCCGAGTACCGCTGAATTGGCTAACAACCGATGAGGAAGCAGAGCCAGGCTCGGCGGCCGGCTCCAAGGCACTGGGGGGGGAGGTGTTGAGAAACTCAGACGGGGTGACTCCAGTGCATGCGGGCAAGGCAGTAGACGTGGAAGCCCTAGCGGGGGAGGGCAACAGGGTGTGCTGCAACGCCGAAATGGTGTCAGAGGTACCTGGGGTGTCCCAGCCGCCTACCTGGTCCTCCGAGGAGGAGGAAGAATCTTGACGGAAAACATGCGGGAAGAACATGACAACAATCGGGACACTGCTGGTGAGGACCTGGTCTGGTAATACCGCAAGCTCTCGATGGAGGAGGCCGAACCCGCCACGAGCGCACTGTTCGACCCACTCGTGGGGGAGGCTGCTGCGGTCCCGTCGGGAAGCAACCGTAACAGCCGCGAGAGCAGAAACAGGAGGAGGAACGCAAACAGTAGTCAGCCTCCAGCCAACTGGACGGAAATCAAGAATGCAGGGTACCTCATCCCTAGTACAGTGTACCTCCATGAACTGCACAAGGGGTAGTGAAGGGAGCGGATGACAGATGCGGAGGACCCCCCCACGGGCACTGGGAGACGCCCTAGTAGACACAATACGTCGAAACGTAGCAGCGTCAGCAAACACCGGGGCTTCGACATAGACCAGTCCATTAGGGGTGATGAGGACAGCTTGGTTATGCGAGTGGCCCGGGAATGCTTCGTGGGCTGAGGGTGCCGTCGGGAGGCTCACCTGCATGGCCGAGAACAACGAAAGGGGCGGGTCCAAAGAAGAACCGACAGGTCCTTGCAACGCATCCGCAGCTGGGCCAATCTGAAATTGCAGAGTGTCAACGTCCTGCAGAAGGAGGGGTTGGGACATCAGCGTCAACCAACCCCAGGGGCACTTAGCAAGCAGAAGGTCAACTTCAGTCTGCATCGTCTGAGCTGCGAGAGCGAGCACCGCAATGGCTCTGCAAGTAGAGTCGCGGGGGCACATAAGCATGCAGATGCGGCCACCCAGCGGACGAAGGTCAACCGGCAGCCAGACTTGACGCCATGAACAGGCAGCCGGAGTGAGAAGAAGCTGCTCACTTGGCAGGCCGGGAAGTACCCCACGGATGGCTGAGACAGAGAAGACACCGGCAGGGAATCCCAAGGTGGCGGCAAGCCGGGCATGCAAGAGCGGCCCATGCAGCCATTCGTCAACCAAGAAAGGGACGGGGCAAGGTTCGAGAATGGGAGCCCCAGGCGGTGTACCCACAAAAGCAGCAAGGTGCCGACGACTGCGGTCGGTGCGCGGGAGAAGCAAGTTACCCGTGCGGCCGACGGGGTATACCTCGCACATTTCCTCAGCAGTAGGAGTGGGCAGAACCGGCCCCGTACTGAGGACAAGCCCTCATGAAAGCCGTGGGCATGCAGTTGCACAGCAGTGGGGGATCTCAGCCACCAGGAGGAGACAACCGCCGCGCCAAGGTGGAGAGTGGCGCCATCAGCAACTGAAAGGTAGAGCAGAAGAAGCGTCACCTTGAAGCGAGGCCCACTGGAGCGGCGCAGACGCACGTTGGTGCGGAAACGAGCCCCTTGTATCCTAAGACCCGCTAAAGAACCTCTGGCGCCACAGGCCGCACTAGACTTCCCAAATACAGCAGCCTTGAGACAGGTGACCCAAGAAAAGGTCAAGACCAGCTCATAGGCACAGTGCCATCGATGCGAAGCCCAAGACAGGGCGAGGAGGGCCTGGGGGCAAAAGACCATACCCCTGCCTGGGAGGAAGGCAATGAGGTCGCTGATGCCGGCGCACAACAGTCTAGGGTTGGGGCTCAAGGCGGCATCCGGGAGTAAAGCAAGCAAGGCAAGGGCCTCACTGGCAAGAGCACAGCCCACGGAGGAGACAGGTGGTCCAATCACAGCCGCGGTCCACCATGCTGTGGCTGACAGAGTACTGCCAAGCTGCCAAGAGCGGCGCCACGAGAGTCTTGGCCCATACGACCGCAAGAAGCGTTCCGTAACAATTGAAACCCGACGGAGAGCTATATACACTATTAAACAGCGCCCGAGGAAAATGCTAATGGCTGCCCAAGTGAGGTCTGCCCAAGCAGAACCCACCGAGTCGCCATCAGCAGGGCAAACTGTCACATGTGTCAAAGCGCCCCGGCAGGTGTGGAGACATGTGCTGCTCGGAACTCCCCGTTGAAAGGACCGCGGCAGCCCGTGTCGTACAGTCATCGGTCTGTAGGAGGCGCCACATTCCGTGGGAAAGGACATGTGAGTCGACACAGAATCTGCACATGCGCGTTGGAAGCGACCTCGGCTGCAAGATACCCCTGTTGGGGCAGGCCCTGCTCCACCACAAGCGATGGGTGCAGCCATTCTTGCCACGTCCCGGGGGCATAGCTGAAGGGATCGTTGATGCTCCCCGTTGCTGCATGTGCTGCCACCAGTACGCCCTGGCGTACCTTGGACAGGGCTCCGGTGCAGCTCCGCAGGCGATGCAAAACGTCTTGCAGACGAAGATGGAGGTCTTCCAGTAGCTGTAGAGACGGCCCTGCAACCACATGGAGCAGCTGATCCCAGGCACCACCCGCAGCTTGTACAACCTGTTCCACCGCTTGTTCGTCGACGGCATTTGGCAGGGCGGCGTCCTGCTCCGGACACGAAGACAGCTCCCCGACAACGTCCGATCCACTGTCGGCAACCATGGCTAAGACTGCCAGCCATGCGCGGCACCAAGCCTCTTGGACAGCACCAGGATCTGGCACAAGTTCCACGTCGTCCTCCACTTCGGTCTGTTGGGGCTTGGGTATGCCTTGGGGAGTAAGCCCCGTGGAAGGTTGCGCCCATGGCTCGCCCACATCCACAGGTCCCGGGCCTCGTCTGGGACTTTTGGATGGTCTGTCCACAGTCCCACTGCCTCGTTTCCGCCATCGTGTGACCTGTATATGGGCCGGGTCCACAGTCACACTCCCAGTATGGGGCGCCATGTTCACATCCTGAAACGCACCACCAAAGCTGACCTCGGAGCCCTCGTGGGCCGAGGGCAGCACAGCAGTCGGTCCAGCAAGGATGTCGCCCATGTGGAAAGGAGCTGGTGCCGGCAGTTGACCCGAGCTCAGTTGGCCACCGCCCGTGTGGCCCAGATGGCTCGGCATAGGCATCGGCGCACCGACAGCAGCGAAAGCCTTCAGCGCGACAGCAATGCGCTGTATTTCGGCCTCCTGCGCACCGTGCCAGACGGCACCAAGGGCCGATGTCGCCGCAGCCACCTTCTCGGAGGATGCCGTTGATGGCTGATGTACGAGAACCTCCTGCAGTTCTCCCACGGCTGCAACGATGTCCTCGTCGAGCTTGTTGCCAATGGCTCGACACGACCCACAAGTCCGAGCAAGTGCTGGCTGATCATCGTCAACCATGCACCCAAGGACGTGCCAAGCTCCTCTTTCGCACGCAAGTCGCTTGCCAGACGTTTGGAGAGCCGGGCCAGAGAGTTTGCATGCCTTTGTGCGAGCTGTTCCACGGACGCCTCGTCCGTGGCGAATGCATGCTGACCCCAAAGATCTTGGGTGGCTCTTGTCGATATAGACTGCAGGGCAGACGCAACGGCCGAAGGTAAGCCGTATTCCACACGCGATTGTTGTGGAACGTCGGTCTTGCCCTGGGTCTTCCCGCCAGCTTTGCCCCCAGCATTGGAAGCATTCTGTTTGGGAGCCATGCTTCCGTGGTGGGTCGCGATGAGGAAGAGGTGCCTCGCCGTATGCGAGCCGCTCTTCAAGGCCTTCCTGGCCTTGTGCCGCGCCCTCCTTTGTCTTCTGTGCCACGTGGGACTGCGCGGCCGCCGCGCCGTCGTGTCCCAGCCAAATAAGTCCCAAGCCAACCAGAAAAAGCGGCAATATTGGGAGATATCGAGCCAGGGCAGTCATAGAAGGGCACGTAGCCCGGGGTTGGCACAGTAAAGGCAGCAACCCCCCAAAAACCAGGTTCACCACCAGGAACCAAAGAATATATCCAGAGCGCGCCTCCGGATAGAGGTCAGCTGGGTAAGCAGCAGTGACCAAGTGGGGTCGATGACCCTTCGATCCCCACCAAGGGGCAAGTCGAAATCGCGCAGCGAGGGCACTACGCTGGGGTCGGGAATGCGCGTATGGCACCCCAACACCAACGGTGACAGGGCGACAAAACGAGCTCGGGCCGCGACGCCTTTAACCCGAAACCCGAAATCCGAAAACTTTAGGGTTTAGGATGTAGTTATGTAGGGTTTAGGGTCCCGACATTCAAAAACACCTTGAGAACCCTTAAACCCTAAGTCTCACACGACCCTATGAACCCCACGCCCTTACACCCCGAAACCGTGCTAGTTCCTTCTTGCTAACCCTAAACCCTAAAACCGCTATCGCAGGAACTGCAGCAGATTGCCATGCAAGCGGTTCCACGGCAGGCAGGGTCTGGTTCAGGGTCTAAGGTTTCTAAATGTACATGTTTTCGTGAACCTGAGTCTTCACTGTGAGAGATGCTTCGGACAGCCCTGGGCCATAAACCCTAGCTTAAAGCTTATGGTTTAGGGGTTAGGTTTTTTTTCGGAGGCCCTTAAAAGTGAGCCCATGAACCTCCTTGAGACACCGTAAAACGTGGCCGACCTTAACCCTTTGAAGACTTTGCAAGACATGAACATCGCCTGCCAACGACTGGTTTAGGGTTTAGGGGTTTAGGGGTTTAGGGGTATAGGGGTTTAGGGTTTAGGGTTCTTAAATCCGAGACACTCAACATTAAACCCTCACACCCTCAGAGCTACACGGTACAGGTGACGCCAGGCACCCAAATCGTCCGTCAGGGCGATGCAAAGGCAGAGGTGCGCGGTCCTCAGGAACTTGTCAATTCAACTTGCTTGCGGTGTTGATATTTGCGGGTCTGGCTTCGGATTCAGGGTTTGCCTGGGTTGTGGGGCTTTAGGATTGTAAGGTGCTTGGGGTTCAGGGTTTGGCGGTGAAAACTTCTGCAAGTCTTTGCATTCTGGACCGGAAACATGTGTAGCTGCTGGGTCCTGCGTAGCCTCGGATTTAGGTTCCTGAGTAGTACCCTTTTGCCCTTTTTATTTTCGGGCCCCCTTACTAACGCCGAATAATAGGAAAAAGGGTGCCCTTATTACAAAGGGGCTACTCAAGGACTTAGGATTATGGCCTCTAGGTCCTAAATAAATCTTAAACCCTTATAGCACCCTTGTAGGTCCCCTTAGTACAAAGGGGCTACTCCGGAACCTCGGATATATCCCGGCCAAGATTCGAAGGTCCATTGTACTGGCCCTAGAAGGATGCTGGGTACAGTACTGTAGGAACCTGATTAAGAAACCTTGCGCCTTTATTAGGGTTCCTCTAAGGGTACTACTTGAAGGATCATGGGACTTAGTAAGTAGGTTATAACTGGGGTTATAAGTCCCCTAAGTGGGGTTATCCTAATTATAACCTACTTATAACCTTACTTACTAAGTCCCATGGGCCTTTAAGTAGAAGGGTACTAGAAGGGTTTTGAGGGGTTTGAAGTGGGAACCTGGTGAAGAAACCAGGGGTCTCCTTCTATGAATCCTACTATTTTTGAGGTTATAGGCCCAGGGTTTCTTAATCAGGTTCCTACATTAGGGTTCCAGTATGGGAAGGATACCCTACATGAAGACAGCGCTCACACCGATCCCAAATTACCCTGCAACTGCGAATGAACATTCCGCAAGCTTTTTCCTAAAGTGTTTACACAACCCCTAAGCCCCAAATATTGGTTTCACGACCCTAGAAGTCCAGATTGATAGTACAGGGGCCTGAATCAGGCCCCAATATTATGGTCCTTAGTATATTAGAAGTGTAATATACCCGCAAACCCTGCTTTTTGAATTTCGGAGGCTGGGTCTTGGTAAGGTTTCCGCCCAGTTTGGTTTTGAATGCACTGGTTGAGCTTTAGAGTTTCGTCTTTGGCCTTGGGCCTGTCTATGTTTTTAGAGCTTTGTTTGTGGGGGTTTAAGTCTGGAGTTTAGCCTGTTGGGTTTCAGCTCGCGGTTATGGGGTGGCCATGGTATATTTAGGCAACAAGTCGTAGGATCTGTGATTTGTGCCTGGATTGTGTCTCCTCAAACCTCTCTTGAGATGCGTGTCCTTAGCTTACAATTCGAGACTTCTTGGGTAAAGAAGACAAGCACCTAAGTTGGAAAGAGGCTGCAAGTCCGAAACCTTAAACCCAAACCGCTAAACCCTAAACTCTAAACCCTAAACCCCCAAACCCTAACCCCTAAGCCTCAAGCCCTTCATTCAAGGTTCTACATCATAGAGACCGGCGAGGTCGAAGTGGTTCAGAACGGCAAGGCGACCTTGCCGAAAGTAGCAACTGTTTGTTTCAGGACTTCCGGTTACTAGAAACGGCAAAACCGGACCAAGAAGGCAACCATGAATACCATGGTAGTTTCGGGCTTAGGGGCTTAAAGTTTGAGGGCTGAGGGCCCTCGGATTTCAAAAATACTTGCGGCAGAAGCCTCAAAGTCAGCTCTGCTCTTCCTTCATAGGTTTAGGGTTTAGGGCTTAGCGTTGAAGGCTTCCTTCTGTCCTGTTCCACTATGCCCCGATGCATGCATCAAAGTGGCAACAAAATTGCGAGAAAGAGCCCCGCAGCTCCAAAATGTGATATGGCACCAGTGCTTTTGGTCGGGTTTCCCCTAGCAATGCACTGTCATGCGAACGGGTCAGGCGCAGTGACTGGAGCGGACAAAGCAGTACCCAGCTCCATTGATTCAGACTCCTGATTCCGAAACCCCAAAAGCTTTTTCTAGTTCTGCCAGCCCCCATACGTTCAACCGTGTACATGAAGGTTCATGGGAAGTTATGTGGGGATAAAATGTGTATGTACATGTATCATATTTGTGTACACCTATTTTTAGACCCACATGTCAGTAAGAGCAGTGGTTACGGCTAGTTGGAGCTCGAAGTGCGGTACTTCAAAGCCCACTCCTAGGTCTTGGATTCATAGATGCACACGGGCCGTCAAGCACAAACGCACCCACTGGGATGACTTCACGCCTATTTTCATGCGCTCCCTGTGGTGAGGTTATGGCAAAGCCCGGTTCCCAGCCGTCGTGACAGAGTGTGGCAATCTTGGGTGTTGTGGCGCAGGCTTTAGACCCACATTCAGTTTTTTGTTTTCTAAGTCTTAGTTTCGAACCTTCAACCTTAGAGGTTGCTGCGAACCTTAAAGCCCTAAACCCTAACCCTTAAGCCCTCAAGCTTAAGCCCCGCCACTCAGACCCCATCCGAATACCAGCGCATCCACGCCCCAACCGCAATGGCTTCCGTTCAGACCCCATCCGATTGGCAGCACATCCATGCCCGAAGCTTGGATATTGACACGAATTGCTGGCATACGCATGAGATTGTATGAAAAGGAAGTAGTTTCCAGTACCCTCCAACAACAACGTTTTTACACGGGAATTGTGCCAAAACTCGAGTGCCAAGCGCAGTTTATGTTCACAATCCAAAGGGGCAAAGCACGCGCCCCTCAACTGGTAGTTATACTCTGCATAATGGGATTCTTTTATCTCGGCTCGGACATCTTTGGCAGGTTGCATTCATTTATTGCGGGGAGCTGTTGCTTTGCTGCCAGTCTTACATGTGTTGACCCATCCGATCTACAAATGTTTGCCTCCCCCGAGTCTCTTTGGCAATTTTGTGGACGCTTAGCTGAGGCTGGGATCGGGGGCGAGCTTCGGCGAGGTGGCGGGCAGCCCAAGATCTAGAACCTACTATGGGGGCCTGAATAATTTCCTGTACTATTTTGGGGGTTCCTTGTTATAATTATAGTATAATGGCCCCACAAGCCTATTCTATTTATTAAGGCCCCTATATCCGGGGCAAACGCTTTTGTCTTGCTTTTTGGCTTTCCGGCTTTCGTGTTGTTTAAGCGGTTCTGGGCTGCAGGGTATACGGCTCATGAGAAGTTTCTTCTTGTAGTTTCTACCCAGGGGCCCCAAAGTAGTTCCTTTTTGGGTAGTATATTAGAGTCCCTAATCAAAAAAGAGGGCACACCCAAAAAGGAACTACTTTGGGGCCCCTGGGTATGTCTATGTTGCTTTAGTGCTGAGCAAAATGAAGGGCTTGGGCTGAAAGGTTTGCTGTGATGGGCCTGAGGATGTTAGGGCTGAGGGTTTTAGGGTTTAGGGTTTAGGGTTGAGGGTTTAGGGTTTAGGGTTTAGGGTTGTGGTCTCCAGGTTTTGCTTGTTGGCGTTGCTGCCGCTGCTGGTCTTTTTGCAACTGCTGCTGCTGCTGCTGGCGGTTTTGCTGTTACCGTTCTGCTGCTGTTGTGGTGCTTCTGCTGCTTTGTCATGTGGCGAGTGCATTTTCCTTAAGACATTGTTATAGCGTTTATGCAGAACAGTTTCATAAACATTGACAACACCGTGTGCGATGCGTGCTTTTCTTGGTAAAGCGAGATTGGTTTGTTGTAGTAGGGCGCTGGCCACCACGAGGCCTTGTTGATGCGCACCACGCGCACAGCCACCATCCGGGCAACGAAGCCTGAGCCTTACTGTGGTCAAGGTAACTGGGGCGTTTGCTACTGATACTGCTTGGCCATTTTCGCTTACGCCTCCACACCGTCGGAACACACTTAGACTGGCGGCATGCATACCCTAAACCCTCAACCCTAAATCCTAAACCCTAAACTCTCTCTGCAGTCGGAAAAAGGTGCTTAAGAAAAACCTAAGCTCCTTTTGTGGGTGCCTTGGGTTTCAGTGGCCAAGCCGCCCCTACTCCCAGAGAACCCTTACAGCTCCGAAGCTGCGACCCACCAAGCTGGGGGTTTAGCGTTTAGAAAATTTAGGGTTCGGGGTTTAGGGATTTGGGGGTTTAGGGTTTAGGGTTTAGGGCTTTAGGGTTTAGGGTTTGGGTTTTAGGGT